GGGTGGGGGCACCTGGAGATTTAGAGGGAAAGCCAACCCCAAGCCTCCAGTTAAGCCAGCCTGGCAACCCTAGAGCAGCAACCTCCTCTTCACTCAGTGAGAGGCTTCAACCCTCCCCACCATGTTGGCTGTGTGGCTACTCCTAGGGGAACACAGGGTCCCACCCTTGGAAGAGTGCCCTTTCAGCACAGGAACTATGATGCAGCTCCCCAGTTTGGGAATCTGTAATCCAAGGGTGAGTGAATGCATTAATGATCACTACTAATTAATAAATGTGATGATACAATGAACAAATGACTCAGCTTAGGCACCACCCAGAACAATTGTGACAACTGTGATGTTAGTCATTCTACCCATCTATCCACCTGCCCACTGTACCTGCCTCCCATCCATCCATTGATCCATCATCCATCCGTCATCCATCCATCCATCCTTCCATCTACCCACCTACCTACCCGTCCCCCTAGTCATCCATCCACCCATCTGTCCCCCCATCCATCCATCTACCCACCCACTCACGCATCCATCCATCCACCCTTCATCCATCCATCCATCCATCCACCATGTTCAATGAACACTTATGCCGGGTGCTGGGTTAAGTCCTCTAATGCCTCCCAGCTCCTACCACGGCCTGATGGAGCAAGAAGACGGACGGGTATGAGGAATCCTGGGTAGGGGGAGTTTCTGGAAAGCCCAAGGCATCTTCGCCGGGGGAGGCAGGTGAACAAGAAGCCATTCAGGACCCAAGCTGTTTAGAATAAGGCTAAGCAGCCAGACTGTCAAGTCCCAGACCACTTCGTCATCCAGGCTCCATCTCACACCGGCTGTGTGACCTTTGACTCTTCTCCAGAGCCTCCGGACCTGAGAACACTGGATCCTCTACCCCAAGCTCATGTCTGCAGACACCGACTTCTTAGTCCCACTGGGCAGCGCAAGCATCATCCCCATTTTCAGAGGAAGAAACCAGGAGTCAGACCGAGCGGCAGAGCTGGGGCTAGGGTGAGGCCAGCGAGATGCCCGGGACTCAACATGTGAGGGGGCGCTCACTCTCAGGCTCGTATAGGTGCAGGGTGAGCGTCTGAGAGCGAGTGACCCCTTCCATGTTGCGCCCTGGGTGTCTCGCTTGCCTCGTCCTAGCCCCAGCCCCAGCCAGCTGCTAAGTGGTCGCATTAAGAAGCACGAGCACGTCTTCTGAGGCAAACCCAGTGCTCATTCTGTACCACTGCTGGGCTCATTCATCCGTGCAGCAAAGATGTACTGAGCCTCCGTGACACACAAGGTATGAGCTGGGCACAGGCGTGCACTGGGACAAGGGGAGGAAGGCCAACACCGTGGCCATTACCTGATGGCCTTGGGCTCCCCTGGACGGCAGGAACATGGTTTCCCTGCCTCAGTTTCTCCATCTGGAACATGGAGGTCCCTGTGAGGATCTGGCCTATGTGACACTCTGTAGGCAGGAATGGTCATCAAGAGGGGTCCAGCCACCCTGGCCTGGCCCTCACTTCATCCGGGGCTGCCCCCCACCCTCCCCAACCAGGGAAGCCAGCCTGGCTGTTTATTTGGTTATTAGATAACCAGGTCTGGGCACTGCTTCTTTGATCAGACACCCCTGATAACAAGCAGAGCAAACAGACCATTTTATAGCGAGATTTCATGGGGCGATCGTACCTTCCCACGGTGTTTTCAGCAGAGACAAGGATGCGGAGGTAGGTGTTTGGTGGGGAGGGGAAGGAAGAGGCTCTGTTCTCCGGTGCTTTCCATTGACCCCTCACTCCCAGACGTGGATATGGGGGAGGGTGGGTGGGAGATAAGAGCCAAGCCTGCCCGGCTGGCCTCCTCCTCTCCCATCACGGACACCCGGCTCAGGGAGGCCTCCCTCACGTTGGCTGTGCATGGCCCCAAAGCAACATACCCTGGCCCCCCTCCCCCACCTCCACACCCCCCATCCGCTGCCCCCCTGACTCTGATTGCCTGGGGAGGGTCCCTGCAGTTAACAACCGGAAAAGCCCAGCTCCAAAGGCCAAAATGTGATCATGCCCATGGATGTGACTCAGCCAGAGCAGGGGCTTGAGAAATAATTTGCTTGTTCCCCAAACAGCCTTCTAATTTCCAGCATTTCAGATGTTCTCGGGATTGCTCTGTATGCAAGAAAGGGGTGAGGGGCGGGGCATATACCCCCCTTCCTCTGGCAAAATGCACGGTCGGTCGGGACAATATAATCTTTTGTTTGTTTGTTTGTTTGTTTGTTAAAAATAAATATATGTTTGAAACCCGTAAGTTTGAGCGCTGGCTCCTTCTTTGTCTTGTTTGATCTCCTTGTAACGAGAGCAGAGTCGTGTTCAAACTGTTCATTTTCTTTCCTTTTTTTTTTTTATTTTCAGGAGTAAAATCTGCTTTAGACCAGGTAGCTCGCTGCCTGCACTTCTGTTCCCTAACCGGGGAAAGAGGGAGCGTCCTGTCCTCTCCAGACGCCCTCTCCCGAGGGGCCCCTGCCATTCCCTTGAAGAGGGCCGGCTCCCACCCCTCACGGTCAGTCTCCACAGGGGGGTCTAGCTAGGACTTAGGAAGTGCTCTGTCCCCATGCTTCCCCCTCATCCCGAAGCCTCTTCCAAAAAAGGCTGTTATTATGGCATGGGTTTTCCCCTTTAGGATCTTCAGGCTCGGAATGGAGACAATAGCGCAGGGAGACGGGACACCCCCAAGGAGACACAGAGCGTCCTGGTCACAAGCAGCGTCTCTGCCACCTTCCAGCCATGTGGCCTGGGGACAGCAGCCCAACCTCTCCAAATTCAGTTTCTCCATTCTGTAAAACGGGGCCACAATAATTCCTACTTCTCATCAGGTCCTTTGGATGTAAGGTATGCGCGCCTAAGGCACCTCGCCCAGCCCAGGTTCTCGCTACACCCTTGGCAATCCTTCTCATTTATAAATAAGCCAGCCCAGCAATTCCTAAATGGGCACCATACTTCTCGAGGAAGTCGCACATCTAAGAGCAGTACAGTAAGTTCTAAAAACCCCAGATTATCACCCCACCTGGGACATCCATGTCACAGCCCCACCCCACGCCAAACCCCGTCAGCAGTCTGAGACTTGAAAGCACCTGCATTCGGAAAGCCCAGAGAGCCTCCCTCAGGTCTGGCCAGGGCAGCGCGCAGGTCTTGCAACCATCCGGAGGTGTACGTTCTGCAGATGTAAAGACACATAATTACCACGAATAACCACAATTATGCAATCATAAACAATCATCCTGAGCAACTCCCCTCCCGCCACAGAAGTCAGCCGTGCCACTCCAGGTTCTTCTGTGCAACAGCCCAGGTGCCCGGGGAGGGCTGGACTGGCCCCGTGATGGCAAGGCTGCTCTGGTCTCATGCTGTCCCCTGCAAAGCAGAGAGCCCAGAAAAATGTCATTTTCAGGAAGGGGACTGATTGTTTCTCTCACATTTCCATTCGTGTAAGATCATGCTGTGGCCTTATTCTGCACTTTCCACTCATCTCTGCTGCCCCCAGAGAAGAGGGAAGTGAAGACCCAGCTGGGTGGGGGTGTCCCCAGATCGAGGATCCCTGACATTGCAGTTAGCTGAAGGGCTCCCAGGGGCCTCACCTAAGCTTCTGGCAAGGAAGCCAAAGGAGGGGTGCTGTCTTGGAGCCCCCCACGACAGGTGCGAACCCATCGGTCTACGAATCCTTCAGAGGGCAGCCAATGGCTTGGAGTGCACCCTGGGCACAGATGTGTCCTGAGGTCCCCTCGCCCACCTCGGGGCACAGCCTCCATCTCTTGTCTTCCCTCCCCCTCGATCGCCTCACACTTCCCTTGGGTCCTGTCTCTCCTCTTTCTCTCTTTCCTGAGTCTCCTCCTTCGTTCTTTGTCTCTGTTGCCCCCCTTTCTCCCTTCCAGTCCTCCTTCCCTCCCTCCCTCCTCTCTGGGTCTCTCTTTTTTCTCCCTCTCCTCTGTCATCCCAGCGAAAGGCAACCAGCATGGATGGATCCTGCATCTACGCACCCCAGCCCCCAGGCCTGCCCCACACAGCTTTGCTTTCCGGCACCCAAACGGTCCATGCGGGCAGGAACAACCCGGCTGAAACCTTCCAACCCCAGTGATGCCTTCTCTCTGCCTCATTCACAAATCCAACAGCTGGCAGAGGACCTCCTTCCCAGATGCTCACCACCTCCATTCAAGTCTTGCCTGCCACTCAGAGAGGTGCCCCGGCCTGGGGTGGGGAGCAGGAGGTGACTAGTTTGGGGACAGGGTGTCTGTCCTCCCCTCCTCCTCCTCCTTCTCCTCCCAGCTGCCTGCCTCTGGGCTGCCACCCTAAACTGACTCACTGGGATGAGAAGGGGGTGGTTGGAGGAGGAGTTGGGGTGGGGGAAGGAAACCCGCCCTGGTCCGCTCCACACTGTTTGCCTAGATGTTCTCTGGAGCAGGACGAGCTAATTACAGGGAGGCTGCTGGCTGCTGGGCACCCCGGGTTGGCCACTTTCACTGTGTTCCTGCGCTTACCAAGCTCCAAGTTGAGGAAACTTTTCCAAGAGAATCTGAAAGGCCTGACTAGAAACATTGGGGGTCCTGGGGCCCAGCGGGGCAGAGAAGAGCCTCCCACCAGCCCCTTGCCCTTCCAGGGATCCGCGCATGGCTAGGGGTGCTCTTTGGCTGTAGACGTGCGCACGGCTCTGGCTCGGCCTGGGCAAGAGTTTGAGGGAGGCCTCTGTGCTCACTGCGAAGACTTTGCGGGAGGCGAGGACCAGAGGACGGAGGGGGTCGGCTGGGGGGTCTGAATGGCAGGAGGAGCCGCGCCAGAGGGCTGGGCGCGCGGCAGGGGTGTGCGCGCAACGCCTGGGGCTGTCTCCACCTCTTCTGGCAAGTTGGACCTATGAGTGCGCAGCTCGACTTACAACTATCAACAGCCTGGGCGGGTGAGCGCGTGTGAGCGCCGAGGGGGGCTCAGGACCCTTGCAACTTCTTCGCGGGACCCCGGCTGTAACGCCAGCGTCCGCCGCCGCAGGAGAACTCCGCGCGCGCCTCCTTTCCAAAACAGTGGAGGCGCCCCGGAGGGGCCGTCCTGCCAGCCCGGACGGGATGCCCACAGCCATGCTCCCCTACGCCTGCGTCCTGGTGCTTTTGGGAGGTAGGTGCCGCCCTCCCTCCACCGGCTGCCCGAGTTCGGAAGGGAGGGAGCTCGCCGTCTGATGTTACTGGGAAGCCCGAGGGGACTGCTATGTGGGCCTGTGGGCTGGGCAGGTGATGCTGCGCTCTGCGCGCTCTTGGGGGCTGCAGCGCTCTTCTCTGGCCTCACCTGGCCTGCGCCTACAGCACCTCCAGGGTCCAGCACCACCGGGCAGTGCTCCGCGCTGTGCGCCTGTGGGGGCCTGGTCTCCAGGCGCCTGGGGCAGCCCCTTGTGCCAGGCCCCAGCGGGGGCCGGGGCTTCCAAGAAGACGCAGGAGGATCCCAGGCCCACTGAGCAGCCCAGTGGCAAGTTCTGAGCCCCGGATCCCTTAGCCCAGAGCTGCAGGTTCGGTCTCGCCCACTGAATCCCGAAGCTGTGGGTGTTCAGGGTCTGTGCCCTGCAGCAGAGCTTGGAGCGTGCAGTGTCCCTGAGCCCATGCTGCTGTCCAGTAAGCCTGATGGCGTGGAGGGAGGGCAGCCAGAGGACCCCGGGGAGAGGAGGCAGTGCCTTCTCCAGGACTAACTGCTCTCCTGCTGGCCCTCTCTAGGGCGTGGGCATGGACAAAACTCTCTGCAAATGCCACCTGACCACGGTGTGTCACCATGAGCCAAAAGGACAATAACAACCATAGTCGTGGAAGGGTGTACAGCCCCCGGGCTCAGCCCCGAGCACCCTCACATGGTTCAGGATTAAGAATTCTGGCCCTGGAGTCAGCTCACCCGGCTCAGAACCCAGATCACCGTCAACCTGCGTGGCCTCGGGCAGGCATGTCCATTAGCTGTCTTAGCCTCAGCCTTCTCATCAGTCCCGTGGGCTTACAGAATCCCCCCTTCACCTAGGACTGTTGTGAGGTCCGCAGGGAAGCACTAAGCGCGCTGTCTGCACCAGGGAAGTACTCAGTAGGGGGCAGCCGGTGGGATGGGGCTGTCGGCTCCCACCAGGCTCGCTGCTCCATGTATAGGCAAGGCACGTCTGCTCTACCTACAGGAGCTCATCAGCTACGCTCTTTGCTTCCCAACCCCCAATTTCTAAGCAGGATATTTGAATAAGAGACGAAAGGGGCCTGAAAGAAGGTCAAGGGAGGGCTGGGTTAGCAGTGTGAGACCCCTCACAGCGACGTCCACCCACCCGAAGGGGCTCCTTTGCCTCCTGCCGGGGCTGGAAGGGAGCAGTCCCACAGCTATCCTTTGCCTTGGAGTCCTCCAACCGTGCAAAACCAGGCCGGGCCACCCTGCTGGTCCCCCGAGGGGCGGAGGGAGCAAGCGAGGACAGAGGGCAGGGTGAGAGCCTGTGCAAGGAGGTCCCGCACTTTCCTCTGGGTACGGAGGTGGGAGGAGGGCAGGGAGGAAGCCCTCCACCTCCCTCAGGATGGTGCCATTGAGAGCAATAGGGCAGATCATCCCAGAAACCTTTGGTCTTGGTCACAGCACAGGGCTGTTGTCTTTGGCGGGCGCCGAAGTCTCGTCACGCCAATGAAATCACTGGAGGTCTCGCATCGCGGCTTGCTCTCAGGGAGCCCCTCCGCTTCGCTCCCTGGCGACTTTTCGCCACAGCAAGTGCCCCAGAGGCCACAGGAGAGACGCTGGGGGGCCCGGTGGCCCCGGGTAGGCAGACGGAGGCCCCTCCACAGCCCGCCGCCCCTCGAGGCCAACACAGACCCTAGAGAAGGGAAGGGTCCCATGCAGGCAGCCTTCACACTCCCTGCTCCCAACCCGGGCACCATTCTCCACTGAACGCTTTCTTCCAAAGTTCTTTTCTCCACTGGCTGCATCGCCAGACACCAGATCCTTTTGCTTTCGTGAAAGGAAACAGAACCCACTTAATCCTTGAGATACTTACATAATTTCGGTACCTGAGCTGGGGCATGCCCGAACGTCAGGTCTGCAGTTGTGCAAACGCGGTATAGGGTGGCACACGAGTACCGCCGCCCAGTGAGTTCCTACTGAGCACGCGCGCGCGCGCACACACACACACACACACACACACACACACACACACAGGGTTTCTCAACCTCAGCACAACCAATACCGAGATCCAGCCTGTCCTCTGCTGTGGAAGCCCTGTAGGATGACCCCTCCCCTACCAGAGGCCAGCAGCAGCATCTTCCCAGTTATGACAATCACAAAGGTCTCCGGACACCGCCCTGGTGTCCCCTGGGGCTGGGGGGTAGGTTGGAAAGGGGGCAGGGGCAAAACCGCCCCGGTGGAGACCCACTGGTGTGGCGAGAGCCAACTGAACTGGTAGCTTTTCCAATGATTCTGTCAAAATCACCGGGTCAGATGAATTTTTGTTATTTTTGCTCTAAGCAATCAGGAAATCAAAGGCACCGTGAGGCCCCAAGAAAAACAACACAGCTTAGGGAGTTTCTAATTTGGACGCTGATTTCTCCCTCCCTCTTGTCTCTGAAAATGTCCTCCTTGGGGACGACGGGAGCAGGGCCGTGGGTCGCGGTTAGCTCCCGCCACAGCAGACTTTCCCCCAGGCCCCACAGTGCCAGACGCATCCTGTGCCAGGTCGCCAGCCTCTGGCTTGGGTTCGCTCCACAGCAATTTCTGGCTTTTAAAAATCTCCTTACTCAACAAGTTATGCTTGAGGGGGAAAAATGAAAAAAAAAAAAAAACCCACAGCTTCTTTTTTTTGTCTCCCCCCTCATTTGTATTTCTTTTTGCTAATTTCAGTCCTGCTTTTATCTCGAGCCATAGACTTGGGGATGGCAAGTTATCATTTCGAGCCAGATTAACTAGCACCGAAGGACAGGCTATTCCATAATAAATGAGTCGTTGATGTGGGACTCCGTTTCGAAACTGGGGATAAAAACTGGGAAGAGAATGGACTTAAATGGGCTCATCCGAAAATCAAATGTGAATAAAGATCGGTAATTGAATTAGTTATTCAAAGCAAAGAAAATTGCCATCGGAAACTTTCCCTTGCTGGGGACGGGTCATGGTGGCGGGCTGTTTAGCTTCTCTCCTGACCAGTGCTCTAATCTCCAAATTCCAAGTAACCAGCTGAAGGCAAATAGAGCCACTTCCTTAATTTCAAAACCATCTGGATGGCAGACCTGTTAGAAGCCACACATGAAGAAACACTTGGGCGATGTACTGGAAGTTAACTATGTTAATGAAAGCTTCAAGCCAGAATGAGCCCCTGATAAAACCTTCCAAGACACACTGCTTTCACCACCAGAGCCGCCCTGGGAAATGAAGATCAGTAGCCCCGTGCAAAGGAAGGGAGGGCACGGAAATCAGTTTGAACTTGAGGACAACAGAGCCGAGCTGGGGGGACAGTCGGGGAAGACCTAAATTCCAAAGCTGGCACCTGGGGGGTGGCCGTGAATTGTGATCGGGGGTTGGTGCGGTTGTTCCTTAAACCAGAATGGCTTTCAGGATCCCTCTGTGCAAAGCAGGTCCCCTGTCCTCCTGGGAGAGTCAGAGAATTTCCAAAAGACCCTGATCCAGGAAACTGTAAACGCTAGTAAGTGAGCTGCAGAGCAGGGTAGGGTGTGAATGTGTCAGAGAGACCAGCGTGTCTCAGACAATGTCAGACCTCCCAGGGGGAGGGCCAGCCTGGGGTCCCGAGGGTACTGAGATGGCAAGGGCGGGGGACGGAGGGACAGGACTGCTGTGCAACTGCGACCTCCACCTGTGCGCCCTGAGGCCGGCTGGGCGGGTCTGAGTCCCACGCGGCTGTGTGTGCTCTGGGGAGCCAGAGAGTAGCATCTTGGGAACTGGGCAGACCCAGTTCCCATCGTAGCTCTGTCACCTTCCCATTCTACCCCTCCATCCCCATCAGTGAGTTGGGAAGAGTGACTGGTGTAGCCTCAAGCTGTGCTAGAAGGGTTCAGTGGTATGTTCTGGGGTCAGGGCTTGATGGAGACCCTCCAAGCTCCTACCAGACCCTGCAGGAAACTCGCCAGCACACACCCCTACTGCCCCCAGGGAGGGAAGAGGCAGGCCCCTGCTCTTGTCGCCGGTCCAACCTGCATTTGCCTGAGTCTCTTAATGTCCGTCTCCTTCCCACTCTGCTGTCCTGCGTGTCCCCGAGACACCGTGGCTGCTGGAATGGTACCGACCACTGTGACAAAATGAGTCATTGCTCGTCTTTAGGGGTGACGCAGGCTCAGCTGTCCTTGTACGCTGCCTCCTATGATCCTGAAGCCTCGGCGGCCGTCCCCGGTCCCCTTCTCTGTGGAATGGGAACTCGGGCAGCACATACTGATGGTGTCGGGTGAGGCCAGTGGGGCGGCGCCCATGGGAGGCTCGGCTCCACCGCCCGGCCCTGGGTGCCTCGCTGTCTGCGCATCACCTGCTGGAAGGCGGCGCTGAAGATAGGGTCAAAGGAAGCAGCTCCCTGTCCTCACGGAAGTGTGAGTGAAACGGGTGACGAGATCCTAAATGAGCGATTCATGATGGGAGTGATGAGCGCCACACGGAGTGTGTCCAGGGGCATCTAGCCGAGGCTGGGAGGTGACATGGCAGGTGAAGCCTGACGAAAGAGCAAGGGTTAACTGGAGGAGGAGGAACAGCATCGGGGCAGAGGGACCGGCAGGTGCAAAGGCCTAGGTGTGGAAGAATCCGTGTCGTGTGGGGGACCACAGAGGAGGCCCCTGGGGCTGGTGAGAGGAGAAGGAGGGGCCGGGGCAGATGTGAGCTCAGAGGTTGATCAGGGGTCCATCATGGAGGACCCTGGGGGCCTTGGGAAGGAGCTGGGTTTTGTGTCAAGGGCAGTGGAGCGTCCACTGAAGGCTTTTTGGCAGCGGAGGAATGGGATGGCTCCAGAATGAGTGAGTTTCCCATCACTGGAGGTATCCAAGAGCAAACCGAATGATGTGGGGGGCAGTGCTGGTAGGAAGTTGCCTGGACTTGCTTCCATCCCCAGATGTCCCTGAGTAAAAGGAGCCCCACCACCCTCCTTGCACAGGACACAGGCTTTTGACTGTTGTTTCTGGCCCCCCACAGATCCAGATCCCCAAATCCAGAGCCTGGTAGTAATGCTGGGAAGGGTGGTGGGCTTCGCTACCCAGTGGCCCACATGTCCCCCGGGCCCACATTCCACGTGGCACCCGTGTCAGCCACAGGACCCACGGAGGCAGTCCTGGTGTGGCCCCCAGCTTACGGGGCTCCCGGGGTGAGGACTGGTGGGACACACAGCCCCTCCCCAGCCACCGCCGCTCGGTCATCGCTCTGGCTCCCGTTCCTCACCTCTTCTCTACCCCGTTGCCGACGCATCTAGTGGCGGCTCTCAGGCCCTTCCGGGGTACACTGAGGTTTAAAGTGCTCCCGTTCTGGGGCGCCTGGGTGGCTCAGTGGGTTAAAGCCTCTGCTTTCAGCTCAGGTCATGATCCCGGAGTCCTGGGATTGAGCCCCACATGGGGCTCTCTGCTCCTCAGGGAGCCTGCTTCTCCCTCTCTCTCTGCCTGCCTCTCTGCCTACTTGTAATCTCTGTCTGTCAAATAAATAAATAAAATCTTAAAAAAAAAAAAGTGCTCCCATTCTGTCAAGATGTAGGGTGGAGGAAAGCGTACCTATGGCATCACTCAGGAAGTGCGGGACTCAGTCTCAGCCACACCCTCCGTCCGGTGCAGCTGTGGTCCCCCCTAGTCCCTCTTCTCTCCTCCCCTTCGGGTGCTCCTCCACCCCCAGGTGACCTCACCTCCACGCGTGTCACAGACCAGCTCTCTCCCCTTCAGAGAAGACGGCGGTCTCTAGCTACCACCGTGCGCAGTCACATGAAGTCCTTTCTACTGCCCTCTCCACACACACACAGGCTGTTCCTCCGGCTTACAACTCTGTTCCCTTCCCCCAGCCTTCCTGTCACCTGCCCATCTGGGTATAAATTCCTAACAGTGGAATTGGCACAGCAGAACGTGTGTGACATTCTTTCACTGGGCTTCCTTCCCAGTGGGTTGCCCCAGTCAACACTCCGCACAGACAGCCCACGGGAGCGCCAGTTTCCACCCTGGCCAACCCTGGTCATTATCATTCTTTAAGAATCTTGCCGGCAGTGATGCTTGGTTATCTAGGTTTGCAATCCTTTGATTCCAAGCGGACAGGAACATCTACTTGTATTTTATGGGCCCCTTTTATTGATTTCCTTAGGGTCTCTCTGGTCATGTCCTTTGCCCATTTTTGTATTGGACCTCTGAAAAAAAATCTTCTTGTTGTTGATTTGTTGTTGCTCTTTATATATAGAAGATAAACTGTGTCCTGTGGATATTGCAGTTTTTTTCAGCCTACCATTCGTCCTCCCAAGCTTTCCACCTCCTTCTCATACGCAGCAGCACACATTATCAGCTTCGTGTGCATGTTTCCCCAGAGGCGAGACTAGATGGTCGGGTATTCTTACCATAACTGACCACATGTTGAGTGTTGTGCGAGAGACAGAGAGACAGAGAGACTGACTTTCCCTGCAGAGAGGGGCACAACTCAAGTGCTGTGCCAAGGGCACTTGGACGCTTTCCCTGCTTTGATTCTCATGACCCCATCCCCACCCCGTGTGATGGGCATATTTTATGGAAGACAGAGGCAAGCCCAGGTACCTAGGGCCACCTGGCAGCAAGCCCAGGGCCCAGACTCATGGGCCACGGAGCTTTGTGCCTCAACTGCCCCCTGCCAGTGATGGTCCAACTCCAAGCCCAGGCAAGGGCTTCCCTGCCCTGTTGCCTCCCTCAAAGAGCCAGGGTTGGGTACCAAGTCTGGGCACCGAGAGATGTGCTCGCCTGAGGCATCTGGGCTGGTGGTTTCTCATGCAGGGAGCACAGAGCAGAGAGGCATGCTGGCTAATCAGGGAGTCGTGGAAGCAGGAAGGACCCTGACTGTCCATCTGCAAAGATGGCAGAGTGGGCTGGGCTCTGGAAGCCCCTTCCCACATTCAAACTCCAGCTGTTCCCTGGCTTGCTAATTACTTGATCCTTCTTGCCTCAGTTTCCTCCTTTGCAAAATCACACCTACACAGGAGGTTGCTATGAGGAGTCAGTGAGACTGTCGGGGACGCAGTGTTAGCACAGTGCTTTGTGGGGGTCACTCCCACCATCACCGAGGCATAGGACACTGCCTGCCCGTTCCAGCCTTGGGAGCAAGCTACTGGTTCTTCCGGACAGCTGCAAGGCATTCTGGGACAAAAGGAGCATGACTGGGGTGGCGGGGCGGGGCGGGGAGGAAGGATCAGAGATGACGGCTGGACAGGGTCAGAGGTGGAGAGGCATGCAGAACACAGGTAGGGAGGTTAGAAGCCCATGTGTAGCTTCCGCTGTTTGCTGGCAATCCGTGGCCTTCCTTGACTTTAGATGGGCCCCTCCCGTGTCTGCCTGTCCCTGTCTGTCTGTGCCTCCTCACCCCTTCCTGGAAGGAGACCGGTCACCTTGGACGAGGGTGCCCTCATCACACACCGCAGGACCTCATCTTAACTATTTACATCCATAATGACCCTATTTCTAAATAAGGTCATGTCTTGAGGTACTGGGGGCTAGGACTTGAATATATTGGGTGGGAGGGAGGCAAATCAGCCCACGACACCTTGTGTTGTATATGAAGGACCCACTGGTGGGTGGGATGGCAGCGGGCGTTTCTGGGAAGTGGAGATTCTAGAAGTTACATGATGAGCCTGCAGCGGAGAGTTTGTGGGGCGGGGGGCAGTGTCAAGCCAGATCCAGGGACCCAGGGAGGGAAGGGAGGCCAGGAGACCGAAACCAAAATATTCCACCACTAGGCAATGACCTGCATAAATTGTGAGGGAAAATCCCCCACAAAGAGTTCCATGTACAAAAAACACTGGGTGATATGGAAGATATTTCTGACATCACGTTAGAACAAAACCGCAGTGTCTGTACCTTTGATCTTGGTTTTATGTGCATTGGCAGGGGCTCCCTTATTCTGTAAAAATGAACTAGAAGGGGGCACCCAGGTGGCTCAGTCGGTTAAGCGTTCCACTTTTGATTTCTGCTCAGGTCATGATCTCAGGCTTGGTCATGATGGAGTCTGGTGTTGGGCTCTGTGCTGGTCGTAGAGCCCGCTTAAGATTCTCTCTCTCCCTCTGCCCCTCCCAACTCCTTTTAAAAAACATTTGAAGAGGGCGCCTGGGTGGCTCAGAGGGTTAAGCACCTGCCTTCGGCTCAGGTCATGATCTCAGCGTCCTGAAATCGGGCACCGCATCGGGCTCTCTGCTCAGCGGGGACCCTGCTTCCCCCTCTCTCTCTGCCTGCCTCTCTGCCTACTTGTGATCCCTGTCAAATAAATAAATAAATAAATAAAAATCTTTTAAAAATAAAAAAATAAAACATTCGAAGAAGATAAATCAGAGGAGGGGAGTGGTGATCACTGGGAGGTGTGATTATGGGGGATTATGTCGTTTTTCTGTATTTTCTATGGGATCAGCTCCGTCTGGGCTGGGTTTGCAGCCTCCCAAGCTTGCAGGCTTCCTCCTCCCCCCGGTTTGCCAGGACCCCAGCAGGAGAGTCTGGTTAGGAAGTCGCAGAGGGTGGGGCTGGCCGAACCCGCCCGGCTGTGGAGGGGGTCCTGGTATTGGAAGCGGACTCAGCCCCGAAGGGCACCAGGGTCCCAGGCAGGAGAGAAGCTCCCAGGCAGGCTAGGGTTCCCGGGGAATCGATTTGGGGAACAGCAGAGTTCCAACCATCCAGACACCGGGACAGGCCCTTGGCCCACGCCGTGCTACAAGGCAATGGGGATGCCAGAGGTGTCCGGTCAAGCAAGCAGCTGGGGCTTCAGGACAGGGAACCAGAGTCCATCCGAACAGGGTGCCTGCGGCCAGGCCAGAGCCCTGGGCGGGTCAGTATCTGCAAGAGCTAACGTCCCCCAGGCACCGGCTCTCACTGAGCTCCGTAGGGGACATCATATCATTTCTTCACAGCCACCTTGTGATTCGGGTCCTGCTGTCATTGTCTTTGACCCTGGAGAGTGCTTCAGGAGGACAGAGGCCTGGAACGATGGCAGCTTGTCGGGCTCTCGGGTGCTCAGGAGCCATTCGGAGCATGAGCAGTGCCAGGCCCCGGAAGCCCACAGCTCACTGTCCCCTGGCAGCTCCGAGGGGCCAACGGTCCCTGCACAGGCAGCCCAGGGGCCAGATGACCCACCACTGACCACAGAGAGGAAGGAGAGGAGATGGGGTCCCCATCGCCAGGGAGAGTCGCTGTGCTACTTGTTGGTCCCTTGGCCCTGAGGAATCCCCGCTCCCAGACCCCCTTCTCGGGTCCTCTTTGCTCGAAGCAAAATGCATTGGACAAATGCCCCCCTTTGGCGCACAGCGAGATTCCCCCTGTTGGCTCTCATCCTGGAGGACGTGGTGGTCAAGGAACCTCCCCTCCAGCTGGCCAGAATCTCGGGCTGGGCAAGTCAGGTACTTGCTCCAGGACCTTAAATCTTGGTGCCATGACCGCAGCTTGAGTGGGTCATGCCCGCACAGGGGGCCTCAGAGGCACTCCAGAGTCATTCCCACCAACTGGATTCCCGGGGCAGCCCTTAGGTCAGTGAGCCTGCACGCCCTTCGAAGGGGCTCTGTTTCAGTTTGCGTGAGTCAGGCGTGGTCTCATTGCTTACGACCACGGCACCTAACCAAAGCCTCCAGAGTCCACTTTGAGTTAGCTAAGTGCCGTCCACGCTTTGGTCCTCCCCTGTTGGCTATCCCCAGAGCTCAGCGTGCATTACAAAATCTGAGTTACCATCCCCCAGTCTCAGTGTTAAGTTATACAGAGAAGGGGAAGAAAGCAATAGCTCACACCCAACCCCACTCTTCCCAAAAAAAAAAAAAAAAAAAAAAAAAAAAGAAAGCATAAAAACAGAGAGCAAGACACAGATATATTTAGCTTGGAATCACCAGTGACCACAGTAAAACTAAATTACTTGTTCTTTGAAATATACAATTAGAGTTGTTTTAACATGTGTTTTTGGTGGTTGGGTGTGGTTTCTAGATAGTTTGAAACTTAAGTCTACTGTTTGGCCCATCAGCTTTATCCAAGGCTGTTGAGCTCTAACTTCCTTAACAGCGACCCGCAGTTACTGAGATGAAAACCAGCTTGCCCGTGATGAGGAGTGCCTGGCATCTTACAGTGATTGACGTTTGGGCTTGTTTTCGCTTCTGTGGTCTTCCGAGACTTCCGCATCTGCCTTTTACAA